CAGCGATGAGAGGGCCAACTTCAGACTCTGAGAGTTCTTGGAGAGTTAGCAAATCCACGGCGCGAACCGACTTGTGTTGGGTGATGGCCTCCAAGCCACGCCGGAGAGCCAGCAAAAGGCTGCGCTGGATCACCACCTCCACCGGAACCTCCACCGCCAGGAGGGATTGCCACCCCCGCCTGGTCGTCCCCACCTCCGGGCGCTGAGGGGAGCATCATGCCCCCTCAATACCGTGTCGCAGTCTCTATATCAAGAAGTGACCTACCCTCTTGGCCAAAAACAGTATGTCCTCCGCTGATGGCACGCACAGCACGCACAGCAGCAGCACAGAACTGCGAGCACCTGATTCGCACTGGCGATCGCTGCCTCTCTCAGCCATGGGGATTCTGGCCAAAGACAGACTAGCATCAATTTTTTCGCGCGCTGCCGCAGGAGTAAATAGCAACACACCACGTTGGCAGCGACCAACTGTGCATCTCAAAGGGTGTGTCCCCAAAGGATGTGCCCTTTAGCCTCAGCCTGGTGATTTGGTGATGTAGCTGCAGTAGGAGTTGTGCCTGACGACGTCCATAGATTTGTGCAAACTGTTCATTGGTGGGCATTGTTGCCCTTTCTGATGCCATGCTATCCGTTGGCCAACCACCACCAGGAAAGCCTCCAGGATGTCCGCCCGGGAAACCACCTCCAGGAAAACCATCGGGTAGACCACCACCACTGGGAGGAGGACCTCCACCAGGAAACCCACCGCCGCCGATCGGGACCCCCGCTGGAACGACATATCCACATTTGCTCGCCCCAATACCTCCACCTTGTACAGGTCGACCGTTGTCTTGAGGTGACAGACCCCCTTGAGAACCTCCACCAGGCTGTCCACCACCACTGGAAGGATCACCTGAACGACTTCCCCCTGACTGGCCACCCTGCTCACTTGGCCCTGATCGCCGGAAGCCAATGGATCACCACGACCTTGAGGTTGAGAACTACGATCTTGTCCCGGATGCCGAACACCCCCACGTGTGCCACCCTGGAAGGCCCCGATCTCAAAGTCCTTCCCAGCAGCGCCCGTTAACATGGATTGGACTGCACCTCCAGCTGCCGAGACCCGGTTGAAGACCTCCATGAGACTAGTCCTGGGTCCACCAAGAAGCCGATGTTGATCCCCAAAATCATTGCGAGGATCCGGAAGACCATGTTGCTGGAACCCCCTAGACCTCCGTCTCGCATCAGCGGGCCCAACAAGCCCCCATCAGCAGGCCGCGACGAAGCCGTCGTGCCCATTTTCATGGCCTCAAACATCGAACCATCATACCCATAGATCAAGGAGGTGGCTGCATCCATTGCTGCCCAGGTCCATTCCAGCGGCTGTCCATAGGATTGCCCATGAAAGCCTCGCGCTCGCTCCAAAGCTTGGCGTTCTCCGAAACTAGACCTTGGATCATGGCACGAAACGCTTCTGGTCCTTCTCTTGGCGGGCTAACCCCAGTCGGCTCACCAGGAAGCAGCTCAGGCGATTCCTGCTGGATCTGAGGCAAGTCGGCAGGTCGAATCGCTCATGCCCTCTGACCAAAACGGGTTCCAGTTCGAGGGACCTAGAACCGTGGGTGGCCCTGTTGGCCTCATCATGACCCCATCATTGGGTCTCACATCCTCAATCGCTCTCACCCCCGACTCCGGGGTTTTCTCTGAGGTAGCCTCGTCACTCATGGCGACCTAAAAAAGACCCAGCCCTTCAAGGCGTTGGGCTCATAACCCTCACGGGCATAACACCGCTTTTTTTTGATCAGCAAAAGGGCTTCAAAGTGAACGCGGTCGTGTCATGACCATCAAGCCAACTTCACAAGCGTGCTTCATTTCTGCTATTATATATGATTTGTTGCGTGTGTGTGTGTGTGTGTGGTATATTGTATATTTTACATATGTTTGGGTTTATTGGACAGATGTAACGGGTCGCTTATCACTGGTTAGGTGAGGGTTACTTTCTACAGCTGTTCAGCTTTCTTTTGTTTTCTAACATGCTGTTCAATGAAGTGATCCACCGATGTCATGTGCCGTTTTGGCTAGAAGGTGATCACCCCAGATTGAATTTTTTGAGAGTGGTTGAGCCGTGGGGTTCTATCCTTTGGGCCTGGGGTGATCATCGAAGGTTGTGGTCTAGGTCGTTCGAACTGCAGCCATGTCTTTACCGCCGTTCATCGGACAGCAGGCGCTTGCAGTGAATGGGGCGATCAGGCCGGAGGACCCCGTCAGCAATATCAGTGCCTCCAGCTGGACAAACGTACCGGATCCGCCAGATGCTTTTAGCTGGAGTGGGTCACTTGATCAGACGGAGGAGGAAGATCTTCCTCCTGGCGCTTTGGACTTCCCAACGGTGATAGATCTGGACATTGTGACTGTTCAGCCAACAGCCCAACCTGAGAAGTCAGCCCCGCACGAAGAACAGGAGCAGGACACTGCTCAGAGCCCACTACCTGCACCGAACCTCGACCCAAGATTGCTGCTCAGTCTCCAATGCCAACACCTGCAGCTGCAGCTCAACCAGCGGCCCTGCTCCACCAGCGGCTGCCTCCAATGCGACTCCCGCAACAGAGGCTGCTCAGAACTTGCTGGCCGGGACCAACCCGCAGTACGGATCCAGGAAGTTGAGGAATCGGAAGCAGGCTGAGAGGGCCGCGAGGAAGGGCAAGGAAATGCGCCCGCTCCCTTCACTGCACTTTGGGCAGATGGGGCGTTCAGCGCAGCACGGCCGCCTTACCTGCGCAAAGGCGGTGCGGGGACAGATGAACGATCGACCCTCGCGGTTGACTCACGAGATCAAAGGATCTCTTCACCGCTTCAAACGCCCCGGCAGGCGTCAACGTTCTCTCTGGCGGCGCTTGTCAGGTGAGGAGCCCCAGCACGGGGTACAATATGAACTTATGTTCTACATGCGTACCCTCGACGGCCGGAAGCTCATCATCGTTGGCTCCATGTTGTCCTACGGATCCGTGCCTTGGCGCCTGATGGTACTCCTACACCGGGGACGTAGGCTTTTCAGCGACTTAGTGACTTGGGTTGATCTCACTCCTTCTCCACCTAGAGCTGAGGGGCTATCGCTCGGATGGTGACGCGACGGTACATCAACGATGCCCTGGTCGTGGGGCTAAGAGGAAGCCTTCGATCGGCAGCGATTCGCGCTACGTGTTGAAATTCGCTGTGAGCTTTTACTCTTGGTCAAGGCTCATTCTGGGAGGTGTGTTTTGAGGTCAGTGCCTGCGATCGTTCTGAGAGTCCGTTGCTGTGGAGTTGTTCAAGCGTGACGCAAGTCGGTTAAGTTAGCAGCACTGTGGCACTAGCTCGTATAGCACGACTAGAATCAGGTCTAGCGTGTTCATGTTCTGGAGGGCTAGCTAGGAGACTTCCATGTGGCGCGTTCCGCTCGCGAGTTGTTACATGCGCACGCTCAATTGATGTTTGGGGCCTCGCAGCTCCGGGGTAAGATGGGTAGAGCTTTCTTGCAAGTGATCTCAGAGCCATGAGAACGCCGCTCGGTCCTAAGTTCGGTCTATAGATCCTCCTTTAAAGGAGGCCTGCGTCAACGGTCAAAGCTCATAGGTGCAGGGCCCCCGAGGACTCGAGGACTATCGATCGACAAGCGTCTAAGAAATGTGATCATCTTTACTGACGGCTCTACTCCTGATCCCCGTGAGTTCGTTAGGCCGCGGCTTCCCGATCGCGGTCGAGACAGTTTTCTGTCGTGATTTCATTTTCTGTCAGCTCAAAGTGGTTGCGACGAACCACCCAAAATTTATACCCATCGAGTCATCACTTTCTCGGATCGTCTTGCAATCGTGATTTTGCTCATAGACTGAGGTTGTCGAAGCGGCCTTGATCAAAGGCTGCTCGAGCAAATCTGATGTTTGCGAGCTAATGTCCTGTCCTTGTTCTGGGAACTGGCGCTCCAGTTGAGGTGCCGGATTTTTATCGCTCGTATTTCCGCAGGCGCCAACCCAACCCGGCCGGCTGGCCGTCCAGAAATGATTTGAAAGGAGGCCGGGAGGCTGGTTGGTGCACAGTTCACAAGATGGCCGCCGGCTCTAGTTCAGTCAGTCTGGGCCTGGGAGAGGATCCAAGCTTCGCTGATCAGTTTAAACCGTCCTGCAGATTTTTTGCTCTCAGCCCTCAGCGTTTGCCTACTCAAGGTTTGTACTATACTCTTTTTGTGTGTGACCAACCTTGCTCAGTCGACGCCTGAGTGCATAGTGAGAGTCGCTCGAAGGACGCTGATCTTGTAACTTGTAAGCTCTTCAAGTTTGAAATCAGGATCACTCGACCCCATGCCTGACGCGATCCAAAAAGGGAGCGCGGCAAAGGGAAGTTGAAAGTGTGTGATCACACACGGCGTCGCTGTCTTGAGTAGGTCGCTTATCACCCGCTAGGTCTGGGATAAGGGGGTTACTCTCTATGGCTTACGGCTGTTCAGCTTTCTTTTGCTTTCTAACATGTTGTTCAATGAAGTGATCCACCGATGTCATGTGCCATTTTGGCTAGAAAGTGATCACTCCAGATTGAACTTTTAACCCACCCTCCCTCCCTGTGGATTAAATCTGCAGGGGGGAGACCAGGACCCAAGCTTCGCTGATCAGTTTAGACCTTCCTGCAGATTTCTTCCTCTCAGTGTTTGCCTACTCAAGGCTTGTACTCAGTTGACACCTGAGTGCGTAGTGAGAGTCGCTCAAACGACGCTGATCTTGTAAGTTTTGAAGTTTGAAATCAAGATCGCTCGACCCCATGCCTGACGCGATCTAAAAAGGGAGTGCGGCAGTCACTGCTTTCTAAGGGAAGCTGAAAGTGTGTGATCACACACAGCGTTGCTGTGTTGAGTAGCATTGGGACTGGCTGATCCTTAAAGCGTTTTGGGCACATGCGGGGGGTTGAGTATGAGGCCGCCCAATTACACCACATTCAACAGACAAACAGATGCAAATCAATCCGACACGTGCACTCGCGTGGAGAAAGCTCAGGAACAAACAGCTGCTCTTGCAGCTGCGACAGCAGCGGCTTCAGCACCAACAGGTGCAAGTGGATGGGGGTTCAATCAGGGGCCAGGTGAATGAGAGTTTTGCAACCGTGCAGAGCATTGTGGAATCTCAACTTTTTGCAACCATGTGCCAATCCCGGCATACAGGGTGGGAGGGGTCCAATTAGCGCTTTCGGACGGCAAGCAGATGGAGCGGAAACAATCATTAATGGAGTGGAGCGGAAACATTAATGGATGATACTTTCGGGTTTGGCACCGAAGACGCAGGAGCTGCGGCTTTGCCGGAACGCAGCGGAGGAGATGTGTGCTGATGCATGGGAGCGTTGAAATGACGGATGTTGCATGTGTCGGGATCGCTCGTATATTTCCTGGTGGAGCGGGTAACATATCATGGACTTTGCTTGCATGCTCACAACCGAAGCGTTGCCAAGCAGGTCACTGGTAAGCGAACAAAAAATAAGAACGACGGAACCTAAGCAGAACTGCTTTCCAGGCCTTCTTTAGACACCGACGCGATCGTTGTTCTGAGGATCAACTGCAGCCTACCTAGATCTCGATGGGCGTTCGTTGCCAACGGTCTGCAGGCATCTGGCGAAGACGTCAACCTCTTGACGTACTTGCAGCTGGGAGGAAGAGTGGTGTTGTGCTGTTGTTGCTCTAAGGGGAAGGGACTTGGAAAGACTGGAACTCAGATGCCTTTGGTCCTTGGTCTTGCCCTGTTCAAACCAAACGATGCCAATTGAGTCGGACTAGTGACTAGAGGGAAATGTGCGGTCCACAGCGGTAGTGGAGAAAAATGAACATCTTGAGCATGATCACGCCATCAGCTTGAACAGATGCATTGGCCCAGACACGCAGGGAGGCAGAAGATGGCCCAGAAGTGTAGTTGGTAAGGCGTCGATTAGCTCTGCTCAAAGACAGGGACTGGGATGGGTTTGAATCCCTCAAGAACAAAAAGGCTGGGTAACAATTCGGTGCAAGCGGTACCGAACAAATAATGACAGAGGGAGGCAAAGAAAGATAGAAAGAAAGAGAAAAAGAGAGAGAGAGAGAGAGAGCGAGCAGGGGAAGGAGAGCGCAAACAGAGGGTGCAACTTGGATTTTCACCGGTTCTTGTGTCAAACTAGTTCAAAACATTTCAAAACGGTTGGAATTCGTTCAGCTTGGATTGAAATTTTTGCAGCGACCTTTTTAAGCCCAACCGTGAATGGTTTTGGGCGCTCGAGATGCGATTAACGCAGATGTGGATTTTCTTAGCAACGCCAGCAATGCCTACTAAGTTACTATTTGATACTATTGAATCTATTCAATTTATTTGATATCAAGTACTTATCAAGCCTGAAAATCTCAAACTAGCTGGGTATGTGCCAGTTTGGGGATTTTGGTTGCACTTGTCTGTGTTCGACAGTGCTAAGGAAAGAGGCTCCAGAGCAGAATGACAGCCAACTGGAAAAAGACATCGAAAGCCATAGCAGCTTGGCTGTTCCTGCGTTGAGGGTTGGATTGAGAGCGGGCAAACCCAACTCGTGTTGCTGTTGAGTGCTGGTTCAAGAGACATTATTGCGCTCGTTGGTTTCGAACATATTTTGTTGCACTATGAAGGTTGGGTTTACAGGAAAGATACAAGCTTAGAATGCCCTTCAAAACATGTCACGAATCACCCGGCGGACCAGGTGGTGATGTGCGAGTGTGCTTGCAGAAGGCGCTCAGAGACTGGGATTTGTACAAAGTCGTTGGCTGCCGAGATAGACGATAGAAATACAATAACAATCATGTCACTTCGCAGATTCACTTGTCTAACATTTTTGCAAGGCTAAATTGGAGAGCTACAGCTTGTGTGTGTGCCACATCAAAGCCCCCACAATCTGAGCTCAAGAGTTCCTCTACCCGGAGCAGATTCAATTGTGCAACTACAGTGATTTCATGGAGAGGAATGTTGCGCAATGTTGTGCAGGCATATGGCATGAACAGGACCTCAGTTGCAACTGCTAAGGACATGTCCTGCTGGAACAGTTCGGGCAACCATTGGATTTCGAAGATCGCACCATGATTGCTACCCCTCTCGATGGTGTCCGCACGCATGTGTCTTGGAAATGCTCTTGGGAAGCGAGGGAAAGGTTGACAGTAAACTAGCCGAAGCTGGCATAGGCATATGCAGCATAATTAAGCTTACTGTTGGGTGCTTGTAGCCAGGCCTCTCACTCTATCAGACTCTATCAGCTTCACGACCTCCCAGTCAGGGAAACCAACGAGGCTTCTCACTTGTGGCTGGAGATCATGTTGACACTGGTTCCATGTTCACCCATTTTCCGGCCGGAGCATCGGTGAATATGGCAATTACTCATATGAACAAAACTTAAAATTGCGAATGGCGACCCTTTCGATACTTGGGATGAATGCATGTGAGTTCTTGCTGAGAAAGGGTTGACTCGCACTGAATCACTTTCAAAAACCTTCAAAAACCAGTCTTGGATGAAGAAGTCCAACTTGGGACTTCTTCTCTGACCGGTTTTCTTGACTGGTGAGATACAAAGTACTCAGGGGTATATACAACATGGGCAACCACCGTGCCCAGGTGAGGCAACTATGGGCGACCCTTCGTTGTCTTTGGAGCCTTGGCTGGGACAAATCTCGGGAGAGTCATGGTGTCGTCACGTCATGTCACGTCGTAGCGTCCTTGCTCCTAGTAGCGATGCCAGGAGCCCCTAGTAGCTTCTTGTTCCTAGTAGTATGGTCCCATTGTCTTTTTGTGGACAAAAAGGCAACAATGTGAGGCAGTAAAATAGAGACCTCTACTCATTGCTGAGTACCCGTGTTTGGAAAGGGCAGGAGATGCCAGGCCAAACGATATGGAGTGAAAAGAAAAGATAAGAAGTTGTGGAGACCTCACATAGGTGGCTTGACGTGGCTTGCATGACTTCAACAGGCCTCAAGTTCTGAAAAGAATGTCGATATCTTGAGCAATGACACCCATGGTGTTGAAGATATGACTGACGGATATTCTGATTGCCAGTGGCCGCAAACGTCACTCTGAGGAGGTCTGACTCCTTGCTGGAGGACATTGTGGAGGAGTTTTTCCACAGCTTCACCACCAGGAGAGAAACTGAGAGATGTCAGACCTGGTAGCGAACTCATGGGGAGCATCCCCTAGCTACAGGTTCTTGAACCTTTGTTTGGGTATCTTTGGGGGGGTTCTTGTTTCCAGTCGTATTCAACCTGTTGTGTTAAACAACCTTACGAGAGCACAGGGTCCTTGCCACCAAAACGATACATCTCAAAGTTTGACAAACATATGTTGCCAGGCATGCAAGATGTCGGGTCGTGCCCGATCTACCATGGACAGATATTGGGAAAGGCAAACGCGGACGATATTTACAACAAGCCTACCAGGCCATTGTCCACCATCTCACATCTCAGCTTCCAGGTCAACGCCAGAAGAGCCAGAGTGGCCTGAGGTGGGGGCTTTGGACTAAGTTGATTCAACGTAATTTCAGCCACGCCAAAAACATCCAAAAACCTTGCATAGCATTTTGTATGGTTTTGTCGTACACTTGTCCTGACATACCCACTGCAAAGGCAAAACTGTTCGCGAAAGCTTCGAGAAAGCTGTTGCAAAAGACAGATCAAAAGCACAAAGTGGTGAGTACAGTGGAAATCAGTGGAACATGATGCGAAAGGCAAAATTGTGGCGATGAAAAGGATGTGATAGCCCTTTGCGAAAGGATGCTACAATAGCAAAGCCATTTCCAATAGGTGTTCGACACAGCTCATGTCTAATTTACTTGCTGTTCTGGACTATAGCAGATGTCAATGCTGAGACGTGGAACCAAAACACTTCACAGTGGAGGTGGCAGCGGTTCACATTTTGGAGCAGTGCAGGTCCATGAGCTAGCTTTGTGCGGCCACGCTTTTGTCATGAGTTGTTGAACCGCAAGAAAGCTAGAGCTGCAGGTTGCAGACAATGCCGAAAAGCAGGCGTTGCAGATGATCGAAAGGCGCGTCAGAACTGCGTCCTCGATGGGCGTAGCTCAATGCACGTGCTAAAGTGTTGATTCGCAATGATAAAATGGTCAATATAGAAATGATATGAAATGATCATCCTTCGGAATCGTTGTTTTGAAAAGGTATGAGATGGTATGAGTACTGTTGGAGCGGTGAGTTCCGGCCAAGCTGGGTTTCGGGATTCTCTTTGACATGTTCCATGTCATGGCACCGTAGATGCCGCTATGTCGATAGGCTATCGCGTGATGCCTCTTCCCCAAGCTGTGACATGCGCGGCTTGCTTGGCATTCATGAGAGTGGGTGTATGAAACACGCAGGAACTTGGTTGAAATGGAGCCAATTTCCTACTATGCTTACTCAAGTCTTAAGTCTTGGACTCCATTACCCGTACTACGTCTTTGTTTGGAAGCAATCATGTTTTTAGTTGTTTGATCTCGTCATCTCAATGGTCAATTGGAAATGAACTGTCCTTTGGCTACTTCTTGCAAATTCACTTTGTCCTGGTGACCTCCTTTCCGAAGCCACACAATCCCAGAAAACCTAGAAATGTGACCTGGGCCTGAATCTAATCACCAGAACAGTCATTCACAATTTTTCATGATTTGGGCGCAACCTTGTGGAAAGCACAAAACGAGGACACAAAGAAAGTGCGACCAGCTTACTTCAACCAGATTAACGCTGGCCGCTAGATTTGTCATGGTTTGTCCATGTTTTCTACGCGGACCAGGAGGCTACCACCTACACTGTGCACATCTGTACATCGCCCCATTAATCTTGATTCCGAGGCATCAAGCCCTATCACGTGCCCGAGCCACCGAGTGCTGGACTGCGACCGTGGAACAAAGCAAGGGTTCAATGAGATTCGTGGAAACAAACAGAAGTGTGCCTGCGGAACGGTTGAAGCAAGTCACGAAAGGTAGCTTGAGCTACCTGAGTTCTCCTTGCTTTAGCAAAAATGTATTACAATCAGGAGTTGGGATTGTGCATTGAATTTGGTCCTGTAAGAGTTGATTCTGTTCGTCGGGGGGGGGGGGGCCCCCCGTAAGAGGGAAGAGTATACCCTATGTGCCGCGCAGTCTGCCTTGAGATAATTTAAGCTAACATAATTAAATATATATAGATTAATAATTATATACTATATCAAAAATAAAGTATTTAAATTGGGCTGTCGTCTGATATGTTCAGATTTCAAAATTTAAATCGCAATGTTTTATATTTTTTATTGTTTTTACTTTTTTTGGAGCCTCCGAAAATTTAAAAGTTTAAAAAAATTAAATCGTAGGGCTGTTCTTAGAGATCACCAGATTTCCAGATGATTTAAAAATTTTTAAAATTTAAAAAATTTAAATCGGACTGTTCTTAGAGATCACTAGATTTCCAGATGATTTAAAAATTTAAAAAGTTTAAAAAATATAAATCGAAATCTTCTATATTTTTTACATTTTTTTTCAATTTGTCAAGGCTCCAAAAAAAATTTAAAAAATATAGAATTTAAATCGCAATCTTTTATATTGGTTTAACTTTTTAAAATTTTTCGGAGCCTCCGAAAATTAAAAAAAATTAAATCGTAGGATTGTTCTTAGAAATTACCAGATTTCCAGATGATTTAAACATTTAAAAAATTTTTAAAACTTAAAAAATATAAATCGAAATCTTTTGTATTTTTTAGTTTTTCTAAATTTTTCAAGGCTCCGAAAAATTTAAAAAATTTAAAAATTTAAATCGCAATCTTTTATATTTTTTAATTGTTTTTAACTTTTAAATCATCTGGAAATCTGGTGATCTCTGAGAATAGTCCGATTTAAATTTTTTAAATTTTTAAATTTTCGGAGGCTCCGAAAAATTTTAAAGATTTAAAAAATAAAAATCGAAATCTTTTATATATTTTAGCTTTGTTTAATTTTTTTCAAGGCTCCAAAAAAATTTGAAAAAATATAAAATTTAAATCGCAATCTTTTATATGTTCTAATTTTTTTAAAATTTTTCGGAGCCTCCGAAAATTTATAAAATTTAAATCGTAGGACTGTTCTTAGAGATCACCAGATTTTTCAGATGATTTAAACATTTAAAAAATTTTAAAAATATTTTAAAAATATACATCGAAATCTTTTATAATTTTTAAATTTTTTAAGGCTCCGAAAAATCTAAAAAAAATAAAATGTAAATTGTAATCTTATATATGTTTTAAATTTTTAAATTTTTTAAAATGTTTAAATTATCTGGAAATTTGGTGATTTCTGAGAATAGTCCGATTTAAATTTTTAAAATTTTCGGAGGCTCCGAAAAGTTTAAAAAATCTAAAAAATATAAATCGAAATCTTTTATATGTTTTATTTTTTTTTTTTTATTTTTTTATTTTTTATAAATTTTAAAACATATCAAGGCTCCAAAAAATTTAAAAATATAAATCGCAATCTTTTATATTTTTTAATTTTTTTAAATTTTTCGGAGCCTCCGAAAATTTAAAAAAATAAAAAATTTAAATCGTAGGACTGTTCTTAGAGATTACTAGATTTCCAGATGATTTAAAAATTTAAAAAAAATAATAATAAAAAAATAATAAAACATATAAATCAAAATCTTTTATATTTTTTAAATGTATTAAATTTTTCAAGGCTCCGAAAAATTTTAGAAATTATAAAAAAAAATAAATCAATCGCAATCTTTTTTTTAATTCTTTTTATTTTTTAAAAAATGTTTAAATCATCTGGAAATTTGGTGATCTCTGAGAATAGTCCGATTTAATATTTACATTTTTAAATTTTCGGAGAAAAATAAAAAAATAATCGTAATCTTTTATATGTTTTAAATGTTTAAACCCTCGTTGCTCACCAACTCTGTTCTCTGCCACTCATGTATTGTTATATTGCCGCTTGGTAATGTCCCCTGTCACAATATGCATATTTAAAATGCTTGTTTGCCACTTTCTCACTTATAACTCTTATATTTTCTTCATCCTTAATGTCCTGTATCTTTATCATTCCACCCTTCACTTCTAAAATCTTCCACCTGATATTCACATTAAATTTTCCTTCCTTTTCATGTCTGTAAAGTCTGCATATCAAAATCTCACCTGCTTTATATTTATCTTTCTTGCCTAGTTTCTTTCTGACTTCATGTGCCAGAGCTTGGCACCTGATGTTGGTATAAGCTATGTTGTTTTCACTTATCATAATATCAGTTGTAAACTTAAAATGCTTAGCTACCCAATCTGAAATCTTCATGTCTTTAATCCAAAGGTCATCATATATGTTCCTCTCACCTGCTTCAGTGTCTTTGCCCCCTACTCTCTTACATGTATTTAAAAAAGATGTTATGTTTAAATATTATGTCAATACAATTATCAACATAATCTTCAACATTCTGACACTTAGTATAAGGCTCTATGCTTGGAAGTTGTTTGACATCACCTGCTCCAATGATAATTTTATTAGGATTCTTCAGGGTAAACTGCCTTATCTTGTTCAATATGAAAGGTGAAGACATATAGATTTCATCAAAGACTATTGCATCAAACCCTGAATAATCATACTTTGGTAGGCTGTTTGTTTTATCAATGCCAATGCCAAAGAACACATTCAATGTCACCGCTTCACATTCAATATCCTGTTTCAACATATTCTGAGGAACTATAAATAGAGTCTTGTAGCCCATCTTCTCCAGATGTTTGCCTATATAACTCTTGCCACTTTCTGCATATTTGGCTCTAATCATCACCCTCTTCTTTCTGATTATGTGTTCACATATCTCTTATGTGTTCCATTCCTCCTCTACTTCAATACTTTCATTTTTGTACGCCGGCTTTTTTATCAACTCATTATGTTTCCATGCATACCAGCCAGAAGAAGATTTTACCATCATCTTTTCAACTCTCCAGTTGCCAATCTCCCTTCCAAACTCTAGTATCTTCCTAGCCTTCTTTAAGTCTGTCTTGGCTATGTGTAGTGCATCAGTTTTTATAGCATATACGTTGATGCCCTTTTCTTTAAGCCTCTCCATTGCATCATACATACTGTAGTTATGATGTTGCAACAGCAGTTATTTAATATACCGAAACCCGTTCATTAACTGCTTCTGTCCTGAAATTAGTAATGTTTGGTTGTTCTGTTTCTTTCTTTGGGGTCACCCCGCCCATCCACGTCTTCATATTCAACATCATCTAAGGTATAGATTTTGCCCCCATACTTGTTCTGATAGTAGAGTGCCTCCTTAAGACTATCAAAAATCTTGCTCTTATTTAATTTGTTGTAGCCCTTTTCTAGTAGACCAAAGGAAATGTTTGCAATGGTCTTCTTAATCATATTGTTTTAATTTTAATCTTCACTGATTTTTGCATTATATAATTATTCAATGGCTTTCTTATACTTCACCTTGTGTACATGAGAAGGCGTCTTATAGTATAATATTGTCATGAGTCATAACTACTCCTCTCTTGGCTAACTTCTTCAGATGCAAACCATAAACCAAGTTAAACTTTTTGTTAAAGAATATGGTTCCATGACATGCCTGAACTAAATACAGTGTATAATCGCCCAGATTTCAAGAATCACATTCCAAATCATAGGGCTTCCAAATATCAAACTCCCCGAAGACAGGAATGTTTGAAATCTCACTGGCTGAATGAGTCAATGCTTCCTCTTGTCAATACTGCATGTCTCACTATCTCTTATAGGGTCATGATGTAGGTAGCCATTCTTTATTGTCATCAATTTGAATTGACCATTTGCTACTATTGTCCTGCTCTCATCCAATATTTTTACATCGGTTTCATTGTAGTCTGATTTATGATTTTCATAAATAAGTTTCTTATGAAACTTGAACATCTCATCACTAACTCTGTTATGTTTCTCCTCTGTATTTACTGCTATGTCTTCATCAATCTTGTCTGTGTTTAAGTCTTGACTCACTATAGTGTAATCATCTTTTTTCTGCTTCTTACCTATCTTAAATGTCAGGTTCATTTTGACATTCACCACTTTGCCTGCCCCGTATCTAATCAATGGTTCATACCCAGCCTGCGTTAAATCAAACATAAATTTATCCAAATCATTATCCTTCAATATCATGTTATAATCATCTTCTTCATTCATTTTCAGCAGGTCATCTATAGATTCTATCATCCTATACTTCATTGCTTCCTTTTTGTTGTTGATAAAGTAGTTGTTGCCAATTTTCAGGTTGTTGGGGTTCTCATCTTTAGTTTTAGCGTTCAGGCTTTCTAAACTATGATTTAGTGTGTATACCTGACAGTTTTTGACTAAAGCATTGAAGGTTGCAATTCTACAGCTGTTAAAGTCTTCGGGGTCATGTCTGTAAATCTGTTTGCCATCAATGTCATATAATCTAGCCTTAATATTGAATTATTTGAAGACCTTATGCATGTTAGATATTGATGCCCCTCTCGTTTTAAACTCTTCATCACCCTTCCTAATTAATTTTATTATGGCTTCTCTGGTCAGGTTCTTAGCCAGCTTCCCCCTTTTATGTCTCATCAGGCTATCCGCATAATGGTCTAGCAATGTATTCATCCAACATTCATTTTCAATATGGTCTTTTTTCTTGATAGCATCCTTGAACCTTAAACAGTCTGGGTTCACTTCAATTTGAATGTATTGATTAAAAATGCTCACATTTGTTTTTGAGTTGGTGAGTTCATCAGCGAAGATGTCATAGTTGGCATCATCTTCATCAATCAGCTCAGCACTCTCAAGCCTAATAAATCTACATAATGATAAAACTCTCCCTCCATCAATTCTTCAAAAGATTTATCAGTCCTCATTATAGCCATCATTCTTTTGAACCTTGCTCTGTCTGAAAACCTGTC